GGACAGACTGCATTTGAAGGATGGAGATCTAGAGGGGCGAGTGGATCACAGGCATCTGCAGCGGGGGCCGAGGAGGGAAGCCCAGCCTCTCTGGGCTGGCTTCCTTGTCTCCAGGGCTGGGCCAGGCTGGGGTGGGGGGACACTTCAGAAAGTGGTGTGTGCTTGGGTGTGGCCTGGAGGGACCCTGCCAAGTGGCCTGGGGCGCCAGGAGCTCTGTGAGCTCAGCCAGCCTGGCCCGAGGCTGTTCTCTGACCGGCTGAGCCATTTGGTTAGCATTGATTGGCTCAGAGAAAAGCATCTGGCAAGGCTGGGGCAGGGGGTGGGGGGACTGGGCCTGTGCGGAGGGAGGGGGGGCTGCAGAGCCAGAAGGATTGGCCACATGACTGACAAGACTCTGAGGCTCAGAGAGCCCCACGGACTTGCCTGGGGGCCTTCAGGGGATTCCAAGCCATGGGACTGTCCCTGCACAGGTGTAGGGAGAGGTGGTCAGGGGGAGGGCTGAGACCGTGGGGCCGGGGAGGGCTGAGCGGCCGTCCGTCCGATGATGAGCCGATGAGGCTGGCCTGCCTGCCCCTGGCAACTTGGAGCTCCTGGATTTGAAGTCAGGGGTGAGGCCTGTTCCACCACCCTCTTCACCAGCTGTGTGGCCTCAGCCAGCCTCTCTCCCCTCCTCCCACCCCCCCCACCCCCACTGTGCCTCATTTCATCTTGGATGGTGTGGTGGTGTGAGGGTTCCGTTAAAGAACCTGGTCCGTGATTAGGACTGGGTCCTCTTCCTTGGTTAGCTCCGTCCTGCTCCCAGGGTGGGCAAGCTGCAGGACCCCTGCCACTCTGGCCATCTGGCCTGGGACTGGAGCAGAGGTCCTGCCAGTGCTGGTTCCCCTGGGGACCTCTCTGGCCTCCCCAGGCCTGGGTGTCCCCAGCCTCGCAGAGCTGGTGTTACAGCTTCTTTGGGAGATCCGGCTACTTAGAGGCTGAGAGAAGAGAAGGTCTGGGGTAAGACGGGGGCACACGGCCTGTTTCCCCACCTCAGTGCCTTTGCATATCCTGTGCCTTCTGCCTGTTATGCCCTTCCCACCCATCCCGCCAGGTCCAGCCCCACAGGCCCATTCATAAGCACATCTGGGGTTGCTGAGTAGACTGGGTGAGGTCTACTCGCCCCCTCCCCCACAGGTTCCTGCCCAGCAGGTGCAGGGTTTTGGGATTTGCGGGAAGGAGGACATGGAAACAACACAGTCTCTACTGTGTATTCTCTATGCTAGCAGGGGAGCAGAAGGCTTCCTGGAGGAGGCGGCATGGGGCGGCCGGGACCTTCCCTGAGCTTCCCCTTACACACACACCCTTAGGTGCCTACTCTGGGCCCTGGCACCTGGCCAGACTGCCTAGGATTGGGGGCCCCCTATCTGCTAATGAACCCATGAGGGCTTGCGAAGTTCATCACCGGACTCCTCCCTGCCCTAGCACATTGGACACTCCAAGACTCAGGGCAAGTATTGAATGGAGGAAGGAAGGAATGAGGCTGAGGAGCCTCAGGTGAGCTCAGATGTGTGGGAGGCCAGGAGGCTTGGGAGTAGCCGAGCAGTCAGGTGCATGCCCCTGGAGGAGAGGAGGAGGAGAGCCTGAGGAAAGGGGGATGAGGCCCAGCCTTACTTTCTTCAGCCCCCTCAGGCAGATCAACCCCCGCCCCACGCAGGAGAGGGCTGAGGAGGCGGATGGGAGGGGGTGCAAGTCTCCTCCACGGAGCCCGGCTGCTAATTTGCGATCTTAAGGTGCGCGGCAAAGGCATCCGCCTCATTGTTGGTACGTTCATCAGGCCATCAGTGGGGTTGGGGCCCCCACTGGCACACGGAGGGGGCACAGGAGGAAGAGCTGCAGCGACCAAGCGCCAGCCTTCCTGGGAAGAAACCCGGCAAGGTGACGATCCAGGACCAGCACACCCATTGGCTTGAGCACGGGTGCCAAGGGCGGAGGAGTTTGGCTGGGAGGGCTGGTCCAGGGCCTTGGAGATGGGACCAGCTTCTAGGGTGGAGAAGCAGATTCAGCGGAGACCCACTCCAGTGCCCAGTGGAAGGAGGCAGAGGTAGTGCAAGGGCAGCTTCCCTGGCCTGGATCCCTGGCATCTGGGCAGCACTGAAGGATGGAGAGCAGCTCTTAGCGGTTGGCTGGGGTCCCTGCCTCCTTCGGGGCCCCTCTCGTAGGAAGGACATGGGGGGTTCCTTCCTGGGTCCTGCCTTTACCCCACACACCCGCCAAAGTGTGTTCACAAGCTGGCTGCTCAGCCCATGCCTAGATTTTTGGGCATTTGTTTTTTTCATCCAAGCTGGGGTCTCTGCCTGGTTTCCCTGTGCTCCGACATTCCCTGGCGCACCTGTCTAAGGGAGGTTATGGCTCTCCTTGGGGCCCCCAGCTTCCCTGGGAACACTTCCGAGAAGCCCAGCCCCAGGGCCTCATGGAGACATAGGCCACAACAGCAGGAGGAAGGGTTGTCTGCCCCCATCCAGGTCAGGGGGGCAGGAGAACACCCCCACCACACAGTAATGCTGAGGATCAGAGGAGAGCAAGCAGAAGCACTTTGTAAACTTCATAAGCTGCACAAATGTCGAGTGGTATTAGTGCTGAGCCTGCCACAGCTTACCCCTGCCCCCATGGTCGGTGTCTCTCTGCTGCCAGACATAAGGGCAGGAAAAGCTTTTTTCTTTGCGGCATCGCCCCCCCCCCCGGGTCTGGTGTGGCACTGTGTGTCCCACAAGCACCAGTTTGTGACCGTGACCTGGTCCCCTTCAGCACAGTGAGTACTGTGAACGCCCTTGAGCTGGGAGGGGTCCCCTGGGCCCCCCCCAATGGCAAGGTGGGGGCCGCTTCTCTGGGGCAAGGTTCCTGGGAGACAGCAGCCTGGGCAGGGGTGAGGAGTGCCAGCGAGAGAGGGGAAAGGGGTGTCAGTCTCTGTGGAAGCTGCAGCCAATGTGGGTTGGGTCCTCCTCCCACCCCTGGCTTTCGGAGGCTCAAGGCACCTGGCAGGCTCCCGGAGAGTCAGCTGGGGCTTGGGGTCCAGGCTCCCGGCCCCTCACACTCTTGCTTCCCCCCTGCACAGCTGGGAACCCCTGCCAGACTGAGGTGGGCAATGGGGGCCTGGAGGTCAGACCCGAGCCTCCACGTGGGGCACGCTGGTAAAGCGATCGTGTCCTACCCGTGTTACAGGGAGGGAAACTGAGGCTTAGCCTGCAGCCTGTCCAGTGGTCGCGATGACTGAAGACACTGCAGGAACCACCTAGAGCGTGGCCCGGCCCGGAAAGGGTCCTCACAGCTGCACAGCCGCCGCCGCCCCCGAGGTCATAATTGCTCTGAAATCGCAACCGAACCCAATTATGCAAACACGAAGTTACATGCGATGATTTTTATGTTGGAAACGTTCGGTGGAAGCCGGGTGATTACAGGGGGACGGGAAGCAGCTGCCGCTCTCTGCGAGCCCGTAACTCCCAACAGCTGGGAGCTGTCACTTATTTACGCTGCCGTTTCTGCCAGGAATGAGGGGGTGGCAGTGGTGGCTAGGCCTGCCCGAGACAGGCCAGGAGGCTAGGCCAGCAGCAGGCCTGGGAGCCTGGCCTAGTGGCCCGGGTGAGGCCGGGAGCAGGCCAGTCCGAGGGTGGCCGGGAGTCTTGGTTCTCTCCACCTGCTTTGGGCAGAGCCAACAGCGGGAATCAGCTGAGCTGCCCCAGGCCCCGGCCTCCCCCGAGAGGCCCAGCTGGCCAAGCTGGAAGGGGCGGGCAAGAGGCCAAGCCCGGGCAGGGACGAGATGGCTGCCTGGCCATGCAGGGTGGGGGTCTACCGGCCTGGAGCCTGTCCTCGCTCGCCGGCGCGCCTGCCGGGCAGCCTGGGGCAGCTGCGACCCTGGAAAAAGGCAGGTAATGATGATCGTCTATAATGAGGACGCTCCGATAATGAGCACGGGGCTATTATCCGACCACAGGCTGGACACATCCGAAAATAAATTATTTTAGGGATCCATTAACGAATGCCTAATTAATGCCCAATTAGAGGGAAGCTACAGAGGAAATGCTCCGGACAGTCGAGAGGCAAAAGGCCTGATTTGCAACCACAGCCTGGAAGCACACAGGCTGGGAGTGAGGTGCGGGGATGGGAGGGGCCGGAAGATGAACCCCATGGGGGGGGGCCCAAGCCAGGCAGCCCTGGTGTCTCCCCCAGTCCTTCACACATATGTCCCCTTAGCACATCCTCGCAGCTCCGCAAGGAACAACTACTACTATTTAGAAATGAAGAAACTGAGGCACAGAGAGCTGTCACATATTTGAGGACACAGAAGGCACCATAAATGAGACATCTTTTGAGCTGAACTTTGGTGTCTTGCATGCATGCTTTGTTATTAAAATACATAAAAAGGGCCGCCTGGGTGGCTCGGTCGTTAAGCGTCTGCCTTCGGCTCAGGTCATGATCCCAGGGTCCTGGGGTCCAGTCCCACATCGGGCTCCCTGCTCGGCGGGAAGCCTGCTTCTCCCTCTCCCATTCCCCCGCTTGTGCTCCTGCTCTCGCTCTCTCTCTCTCTGTCAAATAAATAAAATCTTTAAAAAAAAAAAAAAAAGAATACATAAAAAGACTCCTCAGGCCTCCATATATTTACTTTGTTAGACCAGGAGTCTGAAGCACTACCCGCTCATGTGCTGTTAAGGGAGTGACAGAGCCGGGACGGGAACCAGAGGCTGGGCGCCGCGTCCACGGGTTGCGACGCCCACCCCAGCAGGGCGGGCCGAGCCTGGGGGCGGGGCTAGGGCTTAGGGGCGGGACTGAGGGTCCGGCGCGCGTCCCCGAACTCTCCTCGCCGCGGGGATGCGGAGAGACCCCTCCTAAGGGGCGGAGCGCCAGAGCGTGGTCTCAGGCCCGGTGAGGGCCCCGCTTGGGCCCGACCCCCGCCTTCCTCCGAGCAGGAGCCACCCCCAGGGGGCTGCCATCCCAGGCCGCCGAGTTGGGCACAGCCCGGGACAGAGCCCGGCCGAGGGGGGAGGCGCGTCCCCCAGCCCCGCAGCCCGTCCGTCCCCGCCTCCCCTGGCCGAGCCTGACCTGGCTGTGCTCTCTCTCCCCCCCGCCCCCCCGCCAGGGTGCTGTGTGGAACTGATGCTGCTGCTGCTGGCCGGGGAGCTGTCCCTGGGCGGCGGCTGCCCGCGGGACTGCGTGTGCTACCCCGCACCCATGACGGTCAGCTGCCAGGCGCACAACTTCGCCGCCATCCCCGAGGGCATCCCGGAGGACAGCGAGCGCATCTTCCTGCAGAACAACCGCATCACCCTCCTCCAGCAGGGCCACTTCAGCCCCGCTATGGTCACCCTGTGGATCTACTCCAACAACATCACCTTCATCGACCCCGGCACCTTCGAGGGCTTCGTGCACCTGGAGGAGCTGGACCTTGGCGACAACCGGCAGCTGCGGACGCTGGCGCCGGAGACCTTCCAGGGCCTCGTGAAGCTGCACGCCCTCTACCTCTATAAGTGCGGGCTCAGCGCCCTGCCCGCAGGCATCTTCGGTGGACTGCACAGCCTGCAGTACCTCTACCTGCAGGACAATCACATCGAGTACCTGCAGGACGACATCTTTGTGGACCTGGTCAACCTCAGCCACCTGTTCCTGCATGGCAACAAGCTGTGGAGCCTGGGCCAGGACACGTTCCGGGGGCTGGTGAACTTGGACCGGCTGCTGCTGCACGAGAACCAGCTGCAGTGGGTCCACCACAAGGCTTTCCACGACCTCCGCAGGCTGACCACCCTCTTTCTCTTCAACAACAGCCTCTCCGAGCTGCAGGGCGACTGCCTGGCGCCCCTGGGAGCCCTGGAGTTCCTCCGCCTCAACGGGAATGCTTGGGACTGCGGCTGCCGGGCGCACTCCCTGTGGGAATGGCTGCGGAGATTCCGGGGCTCCAGCTCTGCCGTCCCCTGCGCGTCCCCCGAGGCGCGGCAAGGCCAGGACCTGAAGCTGCTGAGGGCCGAGGACTTCCGGAACTGCACGGGGCCAGCCTCCCCGCACCAGATCAAGTCGCACACGCTCACCACCACCGACCGGGCCGCCCGCAAGGAGCACTACCCGCCCCGGGGCTCTGCCAGGGACAGGGGCCACCCGCATGGCCACCTGCCCGGCTCCCGCCCAGGCCACCGGAAGCCGGGCAAGAACTGCACCAGCCACAGGAATCGCAACCAGGTGTCCAAGGCGGGCACCGGGAAGCAGGCCCACGAGCTGCAGGACTACGCCCCTGACTACCAGCACAAGTTCAGCTTTGACATCATGCCCACTGGGCGGCCCAAGAGGAAGGGCAAGTGTGCCCGCAGGACCCCCATCCGTGCCCCCAGCGGGGTGCAGCAGGCCTCCTCGGGCAGTTCCCTGGGAGCCTCCCTCCTGGCCTGGATACTGGGGCTGGTGGTCACTCTCCGCTGAGGACCTGGGGCGCCAGCACCCAGCACTGCCACGTGTCCACCAAGGAACAGAATCTCTTTTCTTTTTTTTTAACAAGGGGAGGATCTGCTGGGTTTCAGGCAAGTTGGTAAGGTCTTCGGCTGCTGTCTGGGCCCTGCCCGGTGGATTATAAACCCAAAGTGTACAGCCCCAAAGTGGGAAGGGATTAGTGAGCACATCACACCCAGCTGTCCAGCCAGGCCCTGCCGAGCGCCCACGGACAGCATCCATCCAGCAAGGTGGTTAAAGCCCGCAAAAGGAATCCTTCATTAGCAACAATGGGACAGTGCCCCACAGGAGCTGGGCTCTGTGGAATCCCAGTCATTGGAGAGGTCTCAAGGGCCCCCGCCATCCCTGGAGGAAGCAGGACTCAGAGGAGAAGAGCTGAGGCTCACCCAAGAGGCTGGGTGTCCCAGCTGTCTGGGAGCATGGAAGCAGGTGGTATTTTGGCTCTTGCCTGAGGCCACGGAGTCTACCTGCCCTCACTCCGACCCTCAACCCCTCCCTCGGGGATAACGCCTCTCGTTCCTGATGTCTCAGGCAGCCCTGGCAGACCCAGGCCCAGCCGCTGGGCTCCAAGAACCAATTACCAAAGGAAAGATCATCAGAGGCTGAAATTCAGAACTGCATCAAGTGCAGTGAGATTCTCACAGGAGGTGCAGTTTTATAGCTACGTCCACTTATATATATACACACTCTCCACATATAGATACACACAACTGCCCAGGGCCCCGCCCCCCGCCCCCCCCCCAACTGTATGTCTTCTCATGTTTATAAACTATACGGAGAACTATGAACTAAGGATTGTATTGGTGATTTCTAGCAAGAAAAGAGTTACAGGGTTTTTGTCTAGAATCCCAACCTGGCAACAACAGTCCTCGTTGTAACCTGTGCTTGCCAGGGCCTAGGGCAAAGGGTCAGTGGGAAGGGCCAGAGAGAAGAAGGGGAGGCAGCAAGAATCACTTCAGGGGACCAATCTTCTTCGATGTTTAGAGCATCACCTTGTTTTTATATGCAACGCAAGTCCAGCTGCCGCCCCAGAGCACCCCATCACCCCCACTGTACTAGGTGTTGTCAGGGCCAGAAGCGAGAAGCAGCTCATTGGACATCAGGGAGCCAGGCCCTGGGGACGGGCTTCACGGAGAAGGGGACGGAAGGGGCTCTGGGTCTTTTTTGCCAACGGGCAGGCAGCATCCACAGTGTCAGCCCAACAGGCTGGGCAGTGTCATCAGCCTAGCGTTTTTGCCAGCAATGGTCTGGACAGGCCAGGGAGACTCCGGGCATGAGCCCAGGCCTCCAGCATGGCTCAGCTGCTGAATTTTTCCTTGAGGCTCTTTGATGGCCGTCCCAGCAAGGGTCCTGTGTAGGCGGCAGGAGGGAAAGCATCAGGTGGCCTTAGCAGAAGGGGAACAAAGAGGGCATTTCAAGAACCATCTCAGGCACTTCTGCATTATGGAGGCCGCAGCCCTCCTGGCCCTTCTGAACACGCCCAGGGACGGGCAGAGGTGGGGGAGGGGGCCAGACTCAGGGGTCAGGAGTGGGGACGTGCCAGGCATGGAACAGGCAAGCCCAGCGAGGGGACAGTGGCTCCAGTCAAGGTTGGCCATGCTGCCGGCCAGGGCCCCGGCAGGCGCAATCTCCTCTGAGCTTTGCACAAACCTGAATTCCCCACCAGAGAGGATGTGTGTGAGGAGCAAGAAACACCGAATCCAATCAAGAGAGGAAAATAATAATAAAAAAATTTCTCTTGGACAAGAACCCTGTTTCTCATTTCCCAACCTGGCATTCCTGAAGTGGTGGCGGATCGCAGGCTTTTGTGGGGTGGGCGAGCCTGGCCAGGCACAGCACGTTTGTTGGTGGGAGGAGCCATATGGGGCAGGGGCACACTGACTCACTGGGATGCATGTGTGCACACGCGTGCGAACACACACACACACACACACACACACACACACACTTGTTCTCTGTGCTAGGATTCTTCCCTCAGCCTCACAGAACATGACTCACTTCCCACAGCCTGGCTGTGCTGGGTCGACCCAATCTCTGCGGCTCTCCCTGGAGCAGGCTGGTCCTGGATCCTTCCTGGTCTGTTCCCAAGAGCCTCACGCACAGCAGCTGAGCTGTGGATTCTTAGGGGGCTCAGGAGTGGCTGGAAGGGAGCTGCTGGTTCCTGGGGCCCAGAGGGGTTTCCAGGAGGCCAGGGACCCACCCAGACGGCAGCAGAGAGGGTCTGGAGGCTGCACCTGCTTCTCCTGCTTCAGAGAAACGAGGCAGTTCTCCAGATAGAGAGGGGAGGGCTGGGTTTCCAGGCGCGACTGAACAAATCTGCCTCGTTACAAGGCTTGAAACCCGCACTAACGGGAGTGCGGGGAGTGCAGGGACCGCAGAGCACAGTGCGCGCTCTCCCAGGCCAGTGCCAGGGCCCAGCTGTCCCTTAGAACCCGAGGATGCTGTCCTGTTGTTGATTTTTTTTTTTTTTTTTTTTTTAAGATTTTATTTCTTTATTTGAGAGAGAGACACAGCGAGAGAGGGAACACAAGCAGGGGGAGTGGGAGAGGGAGAAGCAGGCTTCCCGCAGAGCAGGGAGCCCGATGCGGGACTCGACCCCAAGACCCCGGGATCATGACCTGAGCCGAAGGCAGACGCTCAACGACTGAGCCACCCAGGCGCCCCGTCCTGTTGTTGATTTCATGTCCAACGTTAGACAGCAAAGCCCTCCGTGGGAAAAGCAAAAGTCCAAGCACTTTATTAAATTTTTTTTAGAAGACTTAGTAAGTCCTGTAATATGACAGTGAAATGTCGGTACAAGAAATGCTAATGTTTTATAAATGATCCGCTTCTGTCAAGTGCAGCACAGTCTCTGTTTTTAGAGGCGAGGCAGAGGGGCCCAGGACGCCAGGTGTATTTTTAGCAGCTTTCTCCTCTAAGAGGTAGAGGGAATGAAAGCGGCTCTGTTGTGGATGATATCACTTGTCACTTGGCAGTCCACATGCTACGCAGGAACGATGACACCATTGCCCAAAGCACCAGAGCAAGTTGACAAGTCAGGGGCTAGACCTCCCTGGTCACCAGACGCCGTGTCCCTCCTGGGTGGGTCAGGCCCGGAGACGTGGGTCCTTGCCCCTGGGAATCCTGTCCTCCTCCTTTGTTCCTAACGGGGCCAGCCCCTCTGCCATCTTTGCTCTCGGCTCTTCCCCTGAGCCCTGGGATAGAGCCATCTCCTCTTCTCCCTCTCTCCCCTCCTGCCACCCAGCAGTCCACTCTGGGTGGAGGGGTGGCCTGTGGGAGGGGCTGGGTGGCCACTGGTGGTCTCAGCGGCTCATCACAGAAGCTCTTCCCTTGACCCCAGAGCTCAGTTGCCTCTTTACCCTTCAACACTTGCTGATCAAAGGCCTATATGTGCCCGCCATTGGCGCAGGCTCTGGGGACATAAAAGTGGGAAGACGTGCCTCTCCTGTAAGGAGTGCAGGGCCTAGATGTGGAAACAGGTATGAGATTGGTGCCTCTGTTAGTGCCTACTCCGCCCATCATGAGAAAGTCAACTGGGGTGAGGACGGTCCAGGAGGACTTCCAGAGGAGGTGACACACAATGGCTCTAATAGGATGAGGAGGTGGCCAAAGAAGAGTGTGGGGAGTATTCGAGGCAGAAGGCTGGAGGGTTACAGCAGCACCATGCTGGTTTGGGGTACCAGCAAAGCGCTGTGAGTTGAAGACTGGGAATCCTATGGGGAGAGGCGTGGGAGGCGAGCCTGGCAAGAGGAAGGTTGGGGGGAATCCTACTCAGGGACTTGGACTTGACTGTGCAGTGGAGGTACGGCCCCCTCTGCGGTCTTCTTCCCTACCCCACACCCCCAGCATCTCTCCGAGCACGTGTCCCCCACTCGTGGCGTGCTTGCCAATGTTCCTCAACAGTGGGTTTCATCATCCTAACTTGCCTCTTCTGCTCAGCCAGATCCTTCCCTTGTGCCAGCACGCCGGAGCGCTCCCTGGAAATCTGCCTGGGCCACAGTCCCATTCCCAGACACCTGCTGCTTCCAAGCCCGGAAAGTACCCCATAGCCGGTTTATCTCCCGTGCTCCCTCCTTTCCAATCCTCGCAGGGCTCAGCCCTCGGCCCCTCCCTTGCCTCCAGGCATGGCCACCTCTAGCTGTGCCCACTTCGGCTGACCATCAGCAATCCCTAGAACCCTCCACGCAGCATCTCCCCCTTTTTATTCTCCTGCTAGGGGCTGTTCATTACCAGGAGCCAAGAATCCCATTTAGCAAATGTTTACTTGTCACCTAACTAATCACCCAGCACTCTGCCACCATGGCGAATGCAGTTCCAGAAGGCCTGTTGGCAAGTGTGAGAGAGCCAGGGCGTGGGGGCAGGAAAGCTTCTTGGAGGACAAGAGGCAGGGCCCAGGGGTCAGAGAGAATGCGTTTGCTGGGAGAGCTCCCTGGAGCCAGCAGCAAATCTTCCCTCCTAGTCTCACCACCTCCCCAGGCTGTCCCCAGCAGTCCCTGGCCAGAACTCCCCTCTGGGACCCAGCTCCTCAGGGCCCTACTCCACACAGACCCAGACGATGCCAGCCTTTCTCTGTGCACATCCTTTGACTGACTGAGGTGCGTGTAGCTTTCGATGGGGTCCGGGCCAACACGTGTTGCTGAGCCTGCTGACCCAGCCGTGGTGACATTCTGGCTCATCTCCTCCCAGTCTGGCTCTCTGGACTCACCTTCCTCAAGTAGGAGTTTAGCATGTCAGCCGTTACTCCACCCTGTGTCACCAATCCCCCACTATCAGCTTGTAATGGGCCAATTTTCTTATACCTTCTGTCTACTTGGAAAATATCTCAAGAACCCTTTGATTGTGCATTAAAATATCCTTCACAGCTCCATGCTCGATATCTCTTTCTGCTCCCCTAATTGTCCCTTTTAACTCACCGCGCTTTCGGAATAAATCTCGCAGTCTCCCCTTTGCAGGCTGTTAATAAATACAAGCTCTAAAAAAACATACATAAACATCTATTGTTGGCTAAATAACTCACCACACGATCAAAAAGGCAGGAACAAAAGGGAGGCTCAGTGCAAGGCGTGCCCACCTGTACCTTCTCCCTCAGACTGTCCTCGCCTGTCTCGTTCAAGGGGGCCGCTGGACTCAGGGAGATTTATGGCCCTAAAATGTCCCCCGGGTGAAGGGACCAAGGATGCCCCAGATGCAAAGCGAGTGGCTCCGGTGCCATGTTGACAGGCCTCCCTCCCAGAGGAACGAGGGAGAGAGGAGGACAAAGGAGACCCCTGTGTAGGGAGCCGTGGCTAATTCAAGTGGCGTTTCAGTGGGCTGGTCCACAAGGCCCCTTACCTCCAAAAGAAGTGGGTCAGCCTCCTCCAAGACACGGCTCCAGCCTGCCCTGATGCGGCCTGCCCCCCATCTCTCCCCTTTCAGCTCTCATTTCTCAGTAGAGCCGGGAGTTTCTGAGCCCCGGCGGGGAGGGCAGGGCTGTGCCTTATTGTGTCACGGGTTTCTGTGTGCGCACACTGTTGGCACGTCTGAATAGCCGAATTTGACACGACCGCTGCAAGATCTGCTTGGGTCACAGTGCTTTCCAAATTGCCTGCGACTCCACGCCGCCCCTCCTCTTTCACCCAGGCGTCTCAGGGCAGCCCGGCCAGCCACGGCTTCTGCCGCTCCCTCTCAGGGCCTCGGGAAACAGAGAGGAAGCGAGAGATGCACGAAACCCTTCCATCTCTGTAAGTACCATTTCCCCAGGAGGCAGGCTCTAAGGAAGAAGGAAAGGCAAGTGCTCGAGGCCTAACCAGGTGGGAGGCCTCCCAGGCAACGGCTCCATATCACGAGGCCTCCACTGCCCAGGTTCAGGGGCAGGCACGGGCCGGCCTGTGATGCCCTCCGCACGGCAGCTGACTGGAATGGAGATGTGGAGCATCCAGGTGGCCGCTTGCCGCTCCGGCCAGAGAGAGATGCGAGGGATCATCTCCAGGTAAGACTCCCTCGGTGGGGAGGGGCCAGCAGGACAAACCCAGTGAGGGACTCCTGGCCCGGGCTGGGGTCATGGACTGGGTGGGCAAGGGAAGGTGAAGTTCCAAGTGAGACCCGTACGGTGTCTCTAGGGGACAGAAAGCACAGCCCTATGGGTCTGTCAGGTCACCAAAAGAGGCAGAGAAAGATGCAGACAGACAGACAGACAGGAGGGTCAATAGGGAAAGAGACATTTTGCACCTGCAGGCACATACACATTGCTCAGCCACCACCAACTGTCACTGTCCTTCATGCAACCGAGTGTGGGACATGCATGCTGTCCACAGATCTGATCACCAAGCACGTGTGCGGCCCAGTCAGGCCCTGGAATGCCATGGAACAAGAGTGCCCCTCCACGAGGGGCTTCCCTGCCAGCCAATAGCAGCCCCTTTTATTTGATTACGAGGGGGGGTGGTCAGGAGAGGGGCGGAGGGCCCACTGTCCCCACACTCTGGTGACCATCCATCAGGGACACCAGCAGGTGTGTGATGAGAGGCCAATTGTAGTCTGAGCCCTGAGCCTCCAAGTTCCCCAGCGAGCCTTGACCCGGAAGGGGCTTGTCCAGCTCCCGGCACCGTGGAGGTTCTGAAGAGGCCGCTCGGCCTTAATCTACAGATTCTGCACCTGTCCAGCGCACGCCTCAGCTCGGGGCTCCAGGCCAGCTGGGCTGCACTGACATTCTCCCCCCACGCTCAGGGTCACAGGGGTCTCCAAGGTGTTTTTATTCTTTACTCCGGCGTCTG